CCCACATGGTGAAGCGGATCTTCTTGTCTTGCCCGCTGCTCCCCTCAGCAGTGTTTTTGGTCAGTCTGCCTGTTCTGTTCCCCACTCTGTCTCTGGTGAATCCTCTCACCCCCTGCATCTCTGGTCTGTGCCCCAGCTCTTGTATGCATAAATAAATAAATCTTAAAAAAAATAAATAAAATTTCATTGTTTTACAATATCGTATACATTTTGGGAATACAACTTCCAACCTCTCTTATGTGTGTAAACCTCACGTCACCTACCCACCAAATTTCTAGTGCCATTCCCGCTATCAAATTGACTCCCTTTGCCTTTCCCTCCACTTCCCCTTCCCCATAACCACAATATTTCTCATTGAATCTAAGAGTTATTTTTGCTGTGATTTTCTAGTTTGCTTTGGTTATTTATATTCCACATATGAGAGAAACCATCCTGTCTTTCACTTTCTGACTTAATTTGCTTAACATAATCACTTCAAGTTTTGTCCATATTGTCGCAAAAGACATGATTTCATCTTTTTAAATATCTCAGTAGTAATCTATTTAGTATATATACCACAACTTCTTTATCTGGTCATCTGTCAGTTGGCATTTAGGTTGTTTCCATGTCTTGGCTATTGTAAATAATGCTGCTGTGAACATAGGGGTTGTTCATATTTTTGATCACTTTTTAATTGCTAGTTTCAGGATGGCCTAAGTAGTTCCTCACCTCTCTGCCATCCCCTTGTTTAATGAAAGGAAACTACTAATAACAGCACATTCTCTCAGTGTTTTTTTTCTGCTTTTTCATAATGATTTCATGATATTCCATTACATGGCTATCACTCATTTCTCCTCACATTTCCAAATGATTCTGAGGACGACCTAACCCCCAACTGTGATCTCAGGTAGATAGCACAGTCCATTTCAGATTCACAGCAAACTGTGGGGGGGATATACCAATATATAGAAGTTGTTTCCTTTCACCACTGAAAAGAGCTTTGGGAACCAAAGCAATGCCAACGTGTATTTCTTGCACTGAATCTCACTCTAAAATTGCACAGTATTTACTACATCTTTCACTTCTTTTATTTAATTTTTTAAAGATTTATTTACTTGTGCACACAAGAACTGGGGTGCTAGCCAGAGGTGTGGGGGGTGAGAGGATTCACAGAGACAGAGTGGGGAACAGAACAGGTGGATTGACTGAAATACACTGCTGAGGGGAGCAGCGGGTGAGACAGGAGAGGTCTGCTGCAACATGTGGGTATCTCCCTGGTCAGGGATGGAACTTGTGCTGCAGTGGCTGCGGATAGCTTCATAGTGCTGCACCTTAACCCCTTGCACCACCAGGGAGGCCCCATCTTTCACTTATTTTAGTGATTAGTTCTATGGTGTAACACTTTTTAAAAAATAACGTTTACTTAAGCTTCTGTTTTAACCTTGAGTGACACATTTAATTGTATTTTTAAAAGCAAGCTTAAGAGGACTGAGTTGACATTTAGGAAAGCTTTTTTACCTCCAATATCCTTGAGTTGCTCAAACAATTCCTGTTCCTCTTTAAAAGAGGAATGTAGTCAGTTTCCTCCCAGAAGAAAATAGGACTTCTTTCCTCCCAGAAGAAAATAGGATTTTAGGGTTCGTTGTTGACAATTATTAGGGTAGAGATGAATTATACTGTCTCTTGCCACTCAGGCTTGATCTTCTTTGGGATAGGGTGAGCTGCTTAGAAATATTTGCTTATAATTTATGTTGATTAAAGGAGAACAGTCTGTGAAACTTTCAGAAGTGGTTCTGCAAAGGATGGCTTTAAACCTCATACACTTCAAAGGCCTGCCTTGTGCCTAGTTGAAGGTTAATGTGAATACAGGGTAATGTCATTGAAACAATTATTACCAAACAGGTTTACCCTAGGAAAAACTGACCTTGCTGCAAATGTGGATAAAGAATAGGAAGGGATATTTGAGTTCTCATGATGATCTGTTTAATCGCATTGAAGATTCAGATATGAATAATTTAATCCAAACACTGTTTATGGGCTTCAGTTGCACTTAGTATTTCAACTCTCTGAAAATGATAACTCTATCACTAGGATAAAGGATCCTAAAAACAGACTAGCTGTATAAATCACATTTTTTTTAATTTATTTTTTTTCTACATACATATATCAAAGATACATGGCTTGGTGTATCTTAGAATTAAGCCACATTTTCTTGTAGCTTTGGTATCTCAGTGACACTTTTATGGGGAAGGAAAGTTTATTAGCTTCATCTAGAAGTTGGTAGTAGATATGAATGCTTGAGGTTCTAGGATTTAAGAGTTCTTTGTATAAATTTAGAATCAAAACCCTAGGATCTTAGGACTTACTTTCAGATTTTATCATAAGTTAACCTTTGTAAGATTATGATGTTCTTTGACAGTTGAGCTTAGATCAATACAGAATGAATCAGAACACGGACATGCAGAGTCACTTGAGGACTCAGATTCATTTTTAGAATTACTGACTTGATTGTAGTCTGTTGGATTGTAAAATCTGTGCCAGTCACACCAGGTCAGATTAGCCCTGAGGAAGCACAGGTGATGGAGAGTTACTGAAGGAAAAGTTGACTTTTAGCTCACCTTTGTTATGGCAGTTTCTCACAGTATAACAGTAAATGGCATTTTAGTGATCACCTCAGTCCTGTGTTCATCTTGGTTATTTTGAGGTACCTCATGGGATTGGTATAGAAATAGAATTGTGACATAGCCAATAGTTTTACAAAAAGATATTCTACATCACTAATAATCTGGGCAATGTAATGCAAAACCACAATGAGATGTCACCTGATACCTGTTAGAATGGATATCATCAAAAAGATAAGAGATACATTTTGGTGAGGATGTGGAAAAGGGGGATCTTCGTGCACTGTTGGTAGAAATGTAAATTGGTGATACCACTTGGAAAACAGTATGGGGGTTCCTCAAAATATTAAAAATAGGACTACCATATGATCTAGCAATTCTCCTTCTGGGTATATGGGCATACCTCATTTTATTGAGCTTTGTTCTGTTCTAATTTCCAGATAATGTGTTTACAAATTGAAGGTTTGTAGCAATCTTGTATTGAACAAGTCTGTCAATACCATTTTTCCAACAGCATGTGCTCACCTGTGCTTGTGTCATATTTAATTAAGATATGTATATTTTTTAGATACACTTCTATTGCATAACTAATAGACTATAGTACAGTGTAAATATAACTTTTATGTGCATTGGGAAACCAAAAAAATTCATGAGTCTCCTGGTTTGAATTCTTTGTCTTAAGACCTTCAGAGCAGAAGACCAGAGATCTGTCTGGTTTTGCCTTTTTATTTTATTTTATTTATTTTTTTTAAGATTTATTTATTTATGCATACAAGATCCGGGGTACAGGCCAGAGGTGTGGGGGGGGGGGTGAGAGGATTCACCAGAGACAGAGTGGGGAACAGAACAGGCGGACTGACGGAAGTACACTGCTGAGGGGAGCAGAGGGTGAGTCAGGAGTGGTCTGCTGTGCCATGTGGGTAGCTCCGTGGCCAGGGATCGAACTCTTGCTGCAGTGGCTGCGGACAGCTTCATAGGTTGTGTCTTAATCCCTTGCGCCACCAGGGAGGCCCCAGGTTTTGCCTTTTTAGATGATACTCCTATAACAAACCCTAGCTTCTTTTATTCTATTTATCTTCTTTTATTATATTCTTCTGTTTTTTTAAATGGCCAGAAAATGTATAAAATGTACAAGTGATCAGTTTTGAGTACTGATAGAATTAGAATTCAATTCATTACCCTCTCACTCCTATAAGCATTTAAATCACGTAAAATAGTTTTGGTATAAGTTCCTTGAGGAAATTACTACCATGCCCATGACTGTCCTTATAAAGAGAAAGAGCTGTATTCTAGTGAAAAATGAAAAAGGAGGGACTCCCTGGTGGCACAGGTGGTTGAGTGCCACACTGTGAGGCTGTCTGCAGGCTCTGCAGCACAAGCCATCCAGCGAGAATCCCACATGGCAAGGCAGACCTCTCCTGTCTTGCCTGCTGCTCCCCTCAGCAGTATATTTCTTCAGTTTGCCTGGTCTGTTTCCTGCTCTGTCTCTGATGAATCCTCTCACCCTCCCATGCATCTGGCCTGTACTCCGGTTCTTGTATAAATAAATAAATCTTAAAAAAAAAAAAAAAAAGAAAAGGGAGTGTGAAGTATTGTCCCTTAACAATTGGGGGAACCAAGAGGAATAATTTGACACCTCATCTCCTCCAGTCCTCTTAACCAGTATTATTCAATGCATCCAACTCTTTGTTCAAATAAATGCATTTGGTTTGGAGTTTTTATTGGGTTAGAAGCTGTTGAGAAAATTCTGGAGATTTGAGAGGAACCTTGAAGATCATCAAGGGTAGCAATATTAAAAATTTTCCATTAAAGCGTTTCATATCATCTAGAAGAATAAGCCAATAGTTGACTGATTTAGGGCCATAACCAAAAGTGGCTCAGTGCAAGCAAGATATTTTTATCTCAGTTTTAGCTTCAAAAATCAGGGGGGTGGAAATCACAGGCAGGTTATATTTTTATCCATACTATTTGTGTGCGGGTATATGTACCTCATGTATGTCATTTGCTGGCTTTTTTGTTTGACAAAAGATTAATGGTTTTGAGCAAATGCTCTTTATATATTGTCCATGTACTGTCATTGTTCAGAAGTAGATTTTAATGGGTCATACACCTAGAAACATAGGGTAATATGCTATTGAGGTGAGGATTGAATGATAGTAGGTGAAGATCACCTTATAAAGCTTAATATGCTATGTGAATGTGAGAATTTATTTAAAAAATCTAAGTGTTCTTTACAATGTTAATTTTCTCGGAATTGGATCTTATGCCCAAGTAAAAAATTAACAGGGGAGAAAATGTTAGGATGTGGGCATGAGGTTTCTTGGCTTGACTTTCTCTGATGCAATCAGGGGCAGGTATAACAAAGTCAACTAACCATCAGTATAATTGATGCCCTTGCAGGAGGGAGCACTGGCAGTTGCTGGGTAATTTGAAGACTACAGTGGAGGGTTTGGTGTCAGTCAACAGCCCAAACGTCTGGTCCAAGTATGGTGGCCTGGAGCGGCTTTGCAGGGACATGCAGAGTATTCTCTATCATGGACTTATCCATGACCAGGTATGCAGATCTCTTCTTTTTTGCCAGACTGACTAAATCACTTGTTGGAAAGAAATACTTGCATGAAGTTGTTGGCTGGGAGGAGATGAAACCTACTAGCCTGTGAGCCTTTGAAGTTAGGACTGCTATATGACGATGACAAGGAGGAACATAAGGACAATGATGATGAATCATTGGGATTTTCCTCTTAGGAACATCCTAGGACATAGATGGGAAGTATTTACAAGATATTCTCATTTTCAGACTATTCTCTGAGCACCATTTTTTCATACATTTTTTAAAAGATTTATTTATTTATACAAGCACTGGGTACAGTCAGAAGTGCGGGAGGGTGAGAGAATTCACCAGAGCAATAGTGGGGAGCAGAACAGGCAGATGGACCGAAATACACTGCTGAGGGGAGCAGTGGGTGGCAGGAGAGGTCTGCGCACCATGTAGGACCCTCGCCTGGCGGCCGGGGATCCAACCAGTGCTGCAGAGGCTGCAGGCAGCTTTGCAACCCAGAGCTCAACCGCTGCGCCACTGCATCAAATTATTGATACTTGTGAATGGTAGTTTTAGTTATAGCTTACATTTTTTAAAATATAAAACTTTATTTTTTAAAAAAGATTTATTTATTTATGCGTACAAGAACTGGGGTACAGGCCAGAGGTGTGGGGAGTGAGAGGATTCACCAGAGACAGAGTGGGGAACAGATTAGATGGACTGACTGAAATACACTGCTGAGGGGAGCAGTGGGCGAGAAGGAGAGGTCCGCTGCTCCATGTGGGTAGCTCCTTGGCTGGGCATTGAACTCATGCTGCAGTGGCTGCAGATAGCTTCATAGGTTGTGTCTTAACCCCTTGTGCCACCAGGGAGGCCCTAAAACTTTATTGATGCTGAGTTTCTTCTCCTTAATAAGCTCAAACACTTTGAGCTTTGATTATGGAAAATGAGTGGAATCCAGTAATACTTAGTGGTTTTTGCTTTATCATTGGCAGTTAACTTCATTTACAGAATTTTAAACAAGGTCTGGTTCTGCATAAAATAGTTAAATGAGTATTGGGTCTGTTATTCTACTTTTAAAAGATCAGACCTCACAAATACATGCATAATTGTGTGCTCCCAGACACCTACGCTCTTTCCATGTCAGGACCTGGTATTCTTAGCTGGTCCTCTTTCCCCTGAGCCAGATTTGTGTTTCTTTTTTAGTAGAATCTATTTTCAACTAGCTATCACTTTATAAAAGATCTAAGCAATGAATTGGTATTAAGATATTCATAATGGATAGGACTTAATGTGCTGCCCTTCCTTCTAAAAATATGGATTTATTATCTCTGGACAATATCTTAGTGTTCTTTACAATGTCATTTCTCTGTTGAATGTCATTGGAAACTGATGTTCAGTAGAGAAGTTTGCTTGTGTTAGATTTTTCTCTGTTCACAGTAAGTTCTGAAAGTGAGACCTCTCTCAAAGAACTTTGAAGATGGGGCACTGGGGGACTTTCTTCTTTCAAGAACTGAATTCTTCTTAATGGCTATCTTATTAAAACACCATTGTGGGAATTTGGAGGCAACATTATATATAGTAGATTGACAGAAATCTTTGGAATCAGATAGAATCTGGATTAAAATCCAGACTCATTGCTTAAGTCCTTGTGAAATAGTGACGCAATTGTTAAAATTACAGACTTTCGAGTCAGACTGCTCACATTTTAATCTCAGCATCGTTACTCTTTGGTATTGTGAGCAGAACAGGCAGACAGATGAAGTATACTGCTAGGGGAGCCGCTGGAGCAGCAGGAGAGGTCTGCTTGCCATGTGGGACCCTTGCCGGCTGCTGGCCGGGGATCGAACCAGTGCTGCAGAGACTGCGGGCAGCTTCTCAGCCCAGCGCTCAACCGCTGTGCCAGCAGCGGAGGCCCTATTACTAAACTTTAAACTATCACCATATGATAGGTAAAAAGTTAGATTTCTCTTGCCATGAAAGACATCCATAAGAGCCATAAAAATTTTTTTCCTTTGAACTGTTTCTTGTCTCTGCTCCCCCTCTTTTTCTTTAGATTGTAAGTCTTTTCCTACTGATTTTTAGGAGTTCTTTATTTATTAAGGAAATTAGTTTTTTGTAATGTGAGTTGCAAATATTTTTTTCTAATTTGTCTTTTGATAGTTCTTATGATGGTTTTCATTTTGCAGAAATGCCTGATTTTTCAGTAAACTATGGACTGTGAATAATAATGATCTTTCAAAGTAGGTTTATCACTTGTAACAAATACACCACTCAGTGGGGCCTCCCTGGTGGTGCAAGAGGTCAAGACATAACCTATGAAGCTATCCGCAGCCACTGTAGCACGAGTTTGATCCCCGGGCAGGGAGCTACCCACATGGCGCAGCAGACCTCTCCTGACTCGCCCGCTGCACCCCTCAGCAGAGTATTTCAGTCAGTCTGCCTGTTCTGCTCCCCACTCTGTTTCCAGTGAATCCTCTCACCACCCCCCCACACCTCTGGCCCATACCCCAGTTCTTGTATGCATAAATAAATCTTTAAAAAAAAAACAATAAAGGGCCTCCCCTGGTGGTGCAGTGGTTGAACACTGGGCTGCGAAGCTGCCCTGCAGCCTCTGAAGCACCGGTTCAATCCCCGGCCGCCAGTGAGAGGGTCCCATATGGCATGCAGACCTCTCCTGCCATGCCCACTGCTCCCCTCAGCAGTGTATTTCATCAGTCTGCCTGTTCTGTTCCCCGCTCTGACTCTGGTGAATTCTCTCACCCTTCTGCACTCCTGACTGTACCCAGTGCTTGTATAAATAAATAAATAAATCTTTAAAAAAAAAAAAAACAATAAAAAAAAAATGCACTATTTGGGTAGGGGATGTTGATATCTGGGGAGACCATGCATGAATGAAGACTCTAGGGATTTTATAGAAAATCTCTGTACTTTCTGCTTAATTTTGCTAAGAATCTGAAACTGCTCTAAAAAAGAAAAGCTGTTAAATTTTTTTTAGACTTATGCCCTTTAAAAATAAATAACTTTTTTGCTTGAAAAAAAAATCAGTGGAAAAGAAATAATCATTCAGCAATCACTGTTGGGAAAATTGGGTAGTTAGAAGTAGATTGATTTAAGCATTCTCCATACACCATAGTCTAAAATAAATTCCAACTGGATTGAAGAATTAAATATGAAAGAAAATGCAAACTAAAAATCTATAAGGGGAAAAAATAAGGATATTGATTTTAAAATAGAAAAAAAATTTCATTGCAAAAAAGTACAAGTGTAAGGAGTAGTCTCAAATTTTAAATTTCTCTCCATAAAACTAAAAAAGGAAACATGAATGTTCAGCATTTTTATAACAGAAAAAATAATGAAAAAAGCAAATAATGTGAACATTTTTCAGTAGAGTACTGATGAAATAAATCAGAGTATATTTATGTATGTAATGTTAAAAACACATTAGGATTCACTCTTTGTCTTATATATTCTATAGTTTGAACAAATATATAATGATATGTATCTACCTACCATTATAATCAGAGTATTTTTACTGACCTAAAAATCCTCTGTGCTTCATCTACTCATGCCCTAACGCACGGTTACCACTTATATTTTTTACTGTTTTCACAAATTTGCCTTTTCTATAAAGTTATATGGTTGGAATCATGTGATATATAGCTTTTCAAGATTGACTTCTTCCATTTAGTGATATGTATTTAAATTTCTCCAGGTATTTTTTATGGCTTGACAACTCCTATCTTTTTCTTTGGTGCTGAATAATATTCCATTGTCTGCATGTACCACAGCTTGTTTATCCATTCACCTATTGAAGGGCATCTTGGTTTACTTCCAAGTTTTGGCAATTTAAATAAAACTGATACAAATAACCATGTATGGGTTTTTGTGTGGAATGAATTTTCCACTTCTCTGGATAATACCAAGGAGTGTGATATCTGGATCCTATGGTGAGAGTATGTCTAGTTTTGTAAGAAACTGCCAAATAGTCTTTTATAAAGTTAACTGTACCAATTTTGCATTCCCATCAAAGAAGAATAAAAGTCCTTTTTGATCTACATTCTTGCCAGCTTTTGGTGTTCATGTTGTTTTGGATTTTGACCATTCTAATGGGTGTATAGAAGTATCATGTTGTTTTAATTTGCATTTCCCTCTGGTCATATGATGTGGCACATCTTTTCATGTGCTTATTTTCCATCTGTATATCTTCTTTAATGAGGTATCTGTTAATGTCTTTGGTCCATTTTTAAAAATTAGATTGTTTTCTTTGTGCGTTTTAAGAGTTCTTTATATATTTTGGATAACAGTCCTTTATCAGATGTCTTTTGTGGAGTTTTGTCCATGGGATCTGTAGTGATGTTCCCTATTTCATTTCTGAGTTATCCTTAAATTTTGTCTGAAGAAAGGAATCCAGTGTGTCATAACCAGGAGACATGCTGGACTTGATAGCTCACTGCTCCCACTCCTGACCACTCAATATCCACTAAACCACAGAGACTAGAAACTCTGCTTAACTGCTGCCAAGTGCTAAAGGTCTTTATGATTCTAATTGGCAAAAGAGCCTGTACATCTGACACTTCTAATTCTTCTAATTCTCACTCTACCTTCCCAATCTAGGTGAGGGGCCCATTGATTTTTGAGGTGCTTCTTGGGATCACTTATCAAGTTATGATTTATTTTAAGGTCTCTTTCTAGGCTGTTTATTTTGTCCCCCAATTAGTCTTTCTCAATACTTATGCTAGTTCTATATTTTTTAATTACTCAGATTTCAGTTTTAACCTTTGCCTACTAGTCTCGGTAAGGATTCTCAAAAAAATAAGAATTAGATCTTCATGATAGAAACATTTTTTGTCATGTTCAAGCCTTTTCCAGTCTGAGTCTATTTTATCTAGAACTAAGCATTTCTTTGACTCTAAATGCAGCCCTTTACAGATCTGAATAACATGGGAAAAATAGCTCTTTACTGACTTGATTTTGGTTGCAGTAAGAACTGAAAACATCCATCTCTGATTTTTAACAAATAACTCTTGATCAGTTTTAAGAATTACCTTCTAGGAAACTGAATGGTAGAGAGACGGGTAGAAAATAGGTTATTTTCACTATATAATCTTCTTTATCATATCCATATATTTCCTGTTCAAATAGATGATTAAAATAATTTTAAGGGGCCTCCCCAGTGGCACAGTGGTTGAGCGCTGGGTTGTGAAGCTGCCCACAGCCTCTGCAGCACCGGTTTGATCCCTGGCTGCTCCCTGGCCACCAGAGGAGGGTCCCACATGGTGCGCAGACCTCTCCTGCCGCCCGCTGCTCCCCTCAGCAGTGTACTTCGGTCCTTCTGCCTGCTCTGCTCCCCGCTCTGGCTCTGGTGAATTCTCTCACCCTCCCAAACTTCTGACTGTACCCAGTGCTTGTATAAATAAATAAATCTTTAAAAAAATAAAAAAAAAAAAATAATTTTAAACAAATATCCTTTAAAGGGATATATGTATGTATTCCTTTAATTGCTGCTGAGAGAACCTGTTAGGCAAGGAAGTTTATGTGTTTTTTCCTCTCTTTGAATATCAACACTAGAACTAGACCTAGTTCAAAATGGTAGTGATTTGTTCACCTTATATATTCCCATAGCAGGTATGTTGCCGCCAGACTGACTACTGGCAATTTGTGAAAGACATTCGCTGGCTCAGTCCCCATTCAGCCCTTCATGTGGAAAAGGTAAGAAGTGAAGGTAACCATAGGCTTTGTTGTTGATGTTCTGTGTGAAAAGTGTCCTAGAGTAAAAGGATGGTGTGTGTCAAGTGTTGTGTCAACTGAGGATAGGAAATTATCCCTGTAGCAGTGATTTGGAAGTGAAGATTGTTTGCTTTAAAGATATATCTTTTTAGGGGCCTCCCTGATGGTGCAATGGGTTAAGCACCACACTGTGAAGCAATCCGAGGCCTCTGCAGCACAAGTTCGATCCCTGGCCCACCAGGGAGCAACCCACATGGCGCGCAGACCTCTCCTATCTCACCCGCTGCTCCCCTCGGCAGTGTATTTCAGTTGTTCTGCCTGTTCTGTTCCCCACTCTGTCTCTGGGGAATCCTCTCACCCCAATTAAAAAAGAAAAAAAAAAAAAAACCAGATATATCTTTTTAAGCCCATTGTACCAGGTCACTTCCTCTCCTCTGGGGAAGGTGTGAAAAAGTTTTGTTATTTTCAAATCTACATATATAGCATCAGAATAAAGCTTTTCAAAATCTAAGAACTTGGGGGAAGTAGAACTGATACCCTGATAACTGTTTAAGAAGAGGATATACCAATTAGAAAAAAAAGTAAGGTTTCTGGAGGCTGGTGCTCCTAAGAGCTTTGGCTACCAGTGTAGCACTCTAATTTCCTGTCCTCTCAGCTCAGCAGAGTAGCCCCCTGGGTAAAAACAAGCAGGGCCTCTAAGCGCTTTGCGAACCTGCCCGCAGCCTCTGCGGCACCCAATCTCAGAGGAGGGTCCCACATGGCGCGCAGACCTCTCCTGCCGCCCGCTGCAGCAGTGTACTTCGGTCCTTCTGCCTGCTCTGCTCCCTGCTCTGGCTCTGGTGAATTCTCTCACCCTGCGCTTCTGACTGTAAGTGCATGTATAAACAAGCAAATAAATAAATAAATAAATAAACAGCAAAATTAAAGAGAATGGTGTAATGCACCCTCAAACATCTACCATCTAGCTTCAGTACTTGATATATGACCAGTTTTGTTTGCTCTATACCTCACCTAATGCCAGATTCATTGCTGAAATGATGTTAGGAAAGTTAATTTGCTTTTAAATTGTCAGGGAACCAAATCACAAGAATGGCCTTTTAATGAGAAAAGGCTGGAACCCAATGATTTTTTTTAAGTAGATTTTTTTGTTTTTCTCATTTTGTTTTCCCCACCAACTCCTCTAACTTCCCTTTTCAAAATATATTGCTGTGGTCGTTTCCTCTTAGAAGCTCCTGAAATTGCCATCCATACATTTTTTGCAATAATCCCTGGATATGAGACTTCCTTTTAAAAACAGCCAGTAGGGCCTCCCCGGTGGCGCAGTGGTTGAGCGCTGGGTTGCGAAGCTGCCAGCAGCCTCTGCAGCGCCGGTTCGATCCCCGGCTGCTCCCCAGCCACCGGAGGAGGGTCCCACATGGCGTGCAGACCTCTCCTGCCGCCCGCTGCTCCCCTCAGCAGTGTACTTCGGTCCTTCTGCCTGCTCTGCTCCCCGCTCTGGCTCTGGTGAATTCTCTCACCCTCCCGCGCTTCTGACTGTACCCAGTGCGTGTATAAACAAAACAAATAAATAAATAAAACATGCCTCTATTAAAAAATAAATAAATAAATAAAAACAGACAATAGAAGGAGGTTCCAAATAAAGAATGCGGTGCTTAAAGCCATAGAGATGTGTCAGATGGTTTCTCTTTGGTTGCATCGTTCCTAGATCCTTTCTCCCAAGTTTTTGTTGTATTCTTTTCTGGAAGCCACCTGAAACAGAGTTCTCTGAGAGAAGTCAAGAGATCAAGTTCACCATTCCTCTGAATAGATGCCTCTTTGAAGTTAGAACATAAAGAGAGAGATGCAGCGGTAAATATCTTCTCTTGGAGCTGCATATCTGGTCTGAACTGCTTAATTCCTCTGGCCCAGTCCAGCAGCAGAGCCAGTAATCCTTTCCTTCCTTCCTCTTCTCAGTAACCTTTAGATGCTAGCTGGAGGAAAAATACTTTTCTGATTGTCTCCTCTTACTGTCTCAGTTTTTTTTTTCTGAGATAATTAGGATTATTATGTCTCATATTTGTATATTTATGAGGACATATTTGTTTTGACTCATGTTTCCTTGTCTTCCAGTTCATCAACTTGCATGAGAATGGCCAAAGCAGCACTGATGGTGTGAATGAACGTGCTGTTGCAGAGCTGTGGCTACAGCATAGCTTGCAATGCCATTGTCTTTCAGCCCAACTCCGACCTCTGCTTGGAGATAGACAATATATCAGAAAATTCTACACAGGTAGGTAGAAGTCACTTAGCTAGGATGGGTGATAATACTCCTCATTCTCTTCTACTTTACTCTTCCTTTGTAGATTCACCTAGTGCCTCATACTTTTTCTTGATGTCATAAAGCTTCTAATTAGGAGCACATATTCGTTCTTTTTTTACTTCCCATGTAAAACACAATCAAACTATATACATAAACCAGTAAGAGTTTATTAAGAGTTTCCTGTATGTCAATTACTCTTTTATACTTTTTATACATATACTCTTTATAACATATATTCTTTATGAGAATTAGGTATTAGTATCTCTATTTTCTAATTAGAGAAGCAGAGTTCAAGGAAGTTAAGTGACTTGGTCAAAGTCACCCAGAGCCAGGATTCAAATCTCAGCCTTTGTTTTTGAACCCTCGTGCTGTGGTCTCTCTGCTACATTGCACATTATTAGTCTCTCCTGTACTTTATTTATCCATGGTTCCTCTTCTCTTCACAGTGGCATGAGTCTCCTGTAGTCATTTTTACCTTTTTCCTCTCTCCTTCTCTGAACTTTCCCAGGGCCATAGAGAGTAGCTAAAGATCTCCCTATTGGGCTCCATCACAGCGGTAGCTTTTCTCTCCCCAGATACAGCTTTCCTGCTAAGCGACGCCCACGTCACGGCCATGCTCCAATGCCTGGAAGCAGTGGAACAGAACAACCCCCGCCTTCTGGCTCAGATAGATGCATCTATGGTAAAGGGGGCAAGGAATTAATTTTGTCGATGTTGGGCTCCTGGGCAACACCATGATTTCCTGAAAGGCTTTCTGAAAGACTGTCAAAAAAGAGGGCCTCTCCGGTGGTGCAAGGGGTTGAGACGGAATACTATGAGGCTGTCCGCAGCCACTGCAGCATGAGTTCAATCCCTGACCAGAGAGCTAACCCACATTGCGCAGCAAACTACTCCTGACTCGCCCGCTGCTCCCCTCAGCAATGTATTTCAGTATATTTCTCTGTTCTGTTCCCCACTCTGTCTCTGGTGAATCCTCTCACCCCCTGTACCTCTGACCTGTGCCCCAGTTCTTGTATGCATAAATAAATAAATCTTTTAAAAAAAAAAAGACTGTCAAAAAAGAAACCCAAAAGAAACAAACAAAAAGTTTGGGGAGAAAGGGAGGTACTGGCTAAATACCTATTAAAGTAAAAAGTTTTAGCTTACATCTATTTGAGGAGGGAAGTGTCTGTAGTTTTAAAACTCTTTTTTTTTTTTTTTAAAGTCTGACTAATCACCTCCTTAAGAGGAGGCTTGACAAAGAGCTGGGGAAAAGAGGGGGTAATTTTGAATTGAGAGTAGGATTTCTAGTGTCAGACCTAGTATGGCCAAGTATTATACAGGGTAATTTTTTTTATTATTATTTTATATATTTTTTACATCATTTTTAATTTTTGTATAATATATGCTTTCTCATCTTGGCTATAGTCTCTGTAAAATTCTCAATATCAAAATCAACAGGCAACTGTAAAACAGATATTCTACAGTGGGGGGAGAGAGGAGTAGGATTATACGGGATTATTTTTATCCTTGAGGTATAAAGAAAAGTTTGTTACTTGATGTTCTCTCACCTTATGATGAATATTAGTGTCTCAACTAGACTAGAATTACTTTTAAGGAGTAATTCCATGTCTCTCCTGTTCTTAAATCTGAGTCATGTTTACCATGGGATACTTTCTACATGCCAGGTGTGGTGCCATGTACAATATGTATATCTTCTCATTTAATCCTCTCAGCTGTATAAACTAGGCATTAATCTCACTTTATAAAAAAGACCACTGAGAGACAGAGCAGGTAAATCACAGTCAAAGTTTGGACCAAATAGCTTGTGATAGGGCCTGGATTTGTACCTTCATCTATTTGACTCCTGAGTCCATGTGCACAGTCTTAAGTACTTTGTCGTACTGCTTCCACTAAGAAACATTCTTTCTTTACCACCTAGAATTCCAGCAGTAGAAGCTGAGTATACAGTGGGACATTGTTGTTGCAAAGTTGTATGCTGTAATAGAAGGTAGTTATACTTTCTACTCTGTGTCTATAAACTTTGACTTCAGTCCATGTCTGCTCCAGAAGGCCAGCTTCTGCCAGTATTCCTGTACTGCCAAGTGCCAGTCTTCTAAGGGTCTCTATCCTTGACTTTGACCCTTTTTTTTTTTTTTTTTTTTTTTTGTAGTTTGCCAGAAAACATGAAAGCCCGCTGCTGGTGACAAAGAGCCAGAGTCTGACAGCTCTGCCTGGTTCCACATATACTCCTCCAACTAGTTACACTCAGCATTCCTACGTTGGGTCCTTCTCGAGCCTCCACCAGCCTATGCCCAGTCATGACTCAGGTATGGAGACAAGGAGGATTAGTCATTGTTTGTATCTCCAGTCTTGGAAAGTAGAGGGCCTTGTGGCTGTTCTCAGGCTGGATATAGATAGAGCCTTAGTTTGGTGCAGTCTGATAATTCATCTCTTAATAATGGACATCTTCAAAAGTTGTATAGCAACTAGCCTAAGATATTTCAGTAGAATCATTAAAGCAACAGAGAAAAGAGATGTTTTTACATTCCCCTGGTTTCTAATCCACATGCCATTTGCTTCTCGGCCTTTTGACTAAGATCAAGTGTAATCCACATGCCAAGAAGGCATTTCAGTAATAATTGCTAACATTTATTGAGTGCCTACCATGTGCCATGTTGTTATCAATTTACATGTATTAGTTCATTTGACCCTCAAAATAGGCCTGTCAGGTAGATGTTATTACTTATTACTGCTTATTTTACAGATGAGGATAAACGATGAAACTACTGTCTCAAGGGTCCAGACTCTTGGCCTAACTGCTTCTAAATAATTTTTTCCTTACCTCAAATGACATACCAATTTTGAGGTCATACTATGTGTCCTGGGTGCCAATGACAGATAGTTTGGTCTTATTTGGGAAAAAAATTTTCACATATATCAAAGGATTCTAATTTACCTTTCTATTCCCTTTCTTTTATATTCTAGAAAGAAGATCTACTTCCTTTTCAGTCTCTGACCCTCCTCAGAAACCTCAAGAAAGCAGAGGGCACATCTCACCAGCAGAGGATCCAGCTATCCAAGCACCCCTGCTTCCAGGCTCTGCATTAACCACGGATTCCTCTTCAACCCCAAATGATATGAGCTCCAGCACTCTGACCAGCCCCATAGAAGCATCGTGGGTCAGCAGCCAGAATGATTCCCCAAGTGATGCCAGTGAGGGGCCTGAGTATTTGGCCATTGGCAACTTGGACCCCCGAGGCCGAACTGCCAGCTGTCAGAGTCACAGCAGCAATGCTGAGAGCAGCAGCTCCAATTTGTTCTCCTCCAGCAGCTCCCAGAAGCCAGATTCTGCTGCATCTTCCCTAGGGGACCCCGAGGGAGGTGGGCAAAATCAGCTGTCCAGTGTGCTTCGCAGGTCCAGCTTCTCGGAGGGACAAATACTCACTGTCACCAGTGGAACAAAGAAGAGCCATACTCGTTCTCATTCAGATACCAACATTGCCTCTAGAGGAACCCCAGGTAATGACAATCATCAGACCCTAGTATCCTCCTGAATTTAGGGTGGAGGGAGGGTTTGTTCTTAAGGATCTTCAAGAGGCAGAAAGAGATGTTATATTTCTGATGAGTTGGTGGGTATCCAACTTATGACATAAGAGAGAAATTTGTAGTGTAATATGGATACCCAGAAATTTCTGAGAATATTTTTATTCTTTCATTCATTGCTGAACAGCAAATACTTTCACTAGTTCCTTACTATCAGAAGATGGGTGACTGACCTGAATTCAAGTTTTAACTATCGCGCTAATAGAGGGGAAGTACTAATGAGCTTTAACAATAATCCCATTAAATTCTTCCCCTTCCTGTGATAATAGAGATCTGGTCAGGGTATAATACCAATATGACAATGACAAACTGATATTAGGATTTCCTCATTAAAACTAGGGACACAATGAGTGTGGGGTGTTGTGACCTAGTAGACACTAGTGGGAGATAATTGCTGCATCAGTCATCCAGGCTGAGAGGCAGTCAGGTCAGAAGGCCCTGGCCACTGAGACCTCTTTCACAGAAACACCAGCTGCTAGCAGAGAGCACTCTAGGCATGGGGAATCAGGTCTCGTCGTTCTTGCCATCTTCCTGTCGTCGCATTCCCCAGATTGTTGGTGTTCGGCAGACTTTGGGTTGGGTTTTATTTGTAGAAGAATCCCCATAAACAGCAAGTATAATGTAGACCTTTGTGTCAAAGCCAGTCTGTATGGCAAAGTCACAGAAATAATATAGAAAAAATTCTTAAAAAACAAAAAGGGCTTCATTTAGCCCGGGAGCTGCCATTGATTTCTCTTTGTAATTATCTGAAGGTGAGAGCTGTGACCCTCATCTGAGGCATCTGAATAACAACTTTTGTCCCTCCTGAAAGAATGTAGTTTGGCTTATTGGAACTCTTCAGGGGGAAAAAAACCTCCAAATCAAAGTCTTTCTTCCCACAAGCTTTCTTAGGTTTGAAGAGTGCTTGAGTTAGACACTTACTTCACATCTTCTGTTGCAGACCTGGTGTTTACTAAACTCCAGGCCACCGACATTGGAGCATATGAAACTCCCTGCCCCACTTTTGAATCCATATGGATTCCAGAAATCACAGTAATCTGCAGTGAAAAAAAAGTCAGAGAAAACCTAAGCAGAGAGGAGTATAGATCACATGTAGCTTTTCATGAGTCATCTTTCTTTCAACACTAGGGTTCCCTCTCAGGAGATGAGTCCCTACCTCCACTAGATAAAAGGACACTCTTTTTTTTACTCTCTCTATTCTCGTTTCCTCTCTGGACTCTACTCTGCACCTGTGTGTCTACCTCCAGGAGGCCCTAGGAATATCACCATTATAGTTGAAGATCCCATTGCAGGTTTGGGAGCCAGTCCTCCTCCTTTCTGTCTGCCACCACCTCCTCCTTCTCTGTGACCATCTTCCTTAGTTCAGAACCGCCTTTTCCATTCTGGTGTCAAATTAAGAACAGTCTGGGCCTGCTGTAATGCTTGAAAGTTTGTATAAAATGATGCAATATTTTACATGATATGTTTTCTGCACACAACTTCCATATGTCTTATTCAGTCTCCCAACAGCTTCTGGGAGGCAGAGTCATGAATTACCAAAAGTGAAACTGTGGCCCTATATTTGTCTAAGGGATCATGAGAAATCAGTGTGCAGAATTTTTCCTGTAACCGTGTGCTTACTATGAATTACTTTATTTTCTTCAAATTAGCACCAGAATGTGTTTTTCCCTTTTCTGTGGACTTGAATGTGGGTGCATGTTTTGTTTTGGTTTTTTGCCTTGCCTACATTCCTATTTCCTTTCTCTTTCATCCATCTTCCTTACCTGTAAGTCCCCCCATCCTCATTCCAGCCATTGCACAGGGTTTTTTAGTGACTGTTTCCAGTGTCTGTTTCTTTGGTTTTCATGGTGGTGTTCAACCTGAATATTGTGATCCATTCTGGGTACCATAATTTTTGGAGATTTAACACTGAGATAGTGTGGTGAGGGAAGACTGAAAACCATGGCCTCCTGATAATGTTTGAAGCTACTGGATAAGTTAACTTAGCAGAGAAGCTTAAAGAGGAATAAGCCTATAGGACCATTGTTTAGAAGATTGTTGTTCATAAGGAGCTAAGAAATTATAAAAAGACAGATTTCAAGTGGAATTACAAGAATTAGATCTGTTCAGTTGAATGGGCAATATCAGGAAGAAGTGAGCTCAGGAAACAAAGACAGGAACACTGTGTTGTAAAGGAATAGGGTGCTGGTGTTGTACAGTAAGTTTGACTGGGGACCTCAAAGTCCCTTCAAAGTCTTGGTTTCTTACTTACCAAGATGTGATGGTGACTGCTGGTTTGTATTCAGTTCAGTAATGGAGCAGAGCTCACTGGCAGGACCACAAGAAATCTTTTGAGGCCCAAGGAAAACACAAGGTTATTTCACACAACTGTGGCACTTTTTGTGAGAGGAGCAGTTGACAAGCTGGTACCACCCATGAGGGACATGGGTTGGATGCAGCTCAATTACTCATTCTCCTGGGGCATCCTGCTCATTTCTTAGGTACCCACGGCTTTTCTGCCTGCTCCTCTTTCTGTGGCACTGGAAATTTTGTTTCCCTTCTTATAACCTGAGCCCCTCCTGCTGCTGTTTCTTCACGCCCAAGTCTCATTATTCCTTTACCCTGGCATTTCCTATACTGCCAGCCTTCCTTGAAACCACTCCCTCCCTTCTCAGTAAGGCTGGACCTGCAACTCTGGGACTGAGCCCTTTGGCTCTGGGCCATCATCCTCGACTGCTTCAGCATTGCCTTGATGCTTCTTTAAAGACATTGCTGGATTTTATTTTGTTGTTCTGCCAATTCAGAAGCGTATTAAATGTGTAGGTGGGACAATTAATAGTTCAAGTTCAAGGTAGGCCACATCCTAGTATTTTCTTGGTGAGTGGTGAATATAACCCTTCTGGTTTTGTTGTAAACCTAGTATCATGGTATCAGAAAGTTTAAGTATACTTTGTCTTACCATCTGAGGATAGTTTTCTAAATTGGTTTGTCAAGAGGATAGAAGCTGGTAGTCTTTGAACATTTGGAAGGTCATGGTGAGGAGATAGAAGAGAACTAAATTCAGGAATCTACTTTGATTTCTGTTTCACTATTGTGTTGTCCCATTTTGGGTCATGATTTCTCTTTTCCCATTAGAATATACAGACTTCCCATTTCCTCTCCTTCATGTGTTCCTGCATTTTTGGACTGTTCCCTGTTGGTGTGCCACCTCTCTCCTGTGGGGCATTGGGAATGGGAGCAGTTAAATGTTGAAACTCCAAGCTTGGGACTGTGTCTGTTGCTCACCTCGTATGTGTGTTTTTACTCCCTGGTGGTCACTGACACTAGAATCCTGCAGTGATAAGTCGAAGTTGAGAGGCCCCTTGCCCTACTCTGGCCAAAGCAGTGAAGTCAGCACACCCAGCTCTCTGTACATGGAGTATGGTAAGTGAGTATTAGGAAGGTCAGGGCTACATTATGTCTTTTCTCTGTTCTCCCCTTGTGCCTGCTAAGTTCTGAGATGTGTGGCTCACCTCAGCTCTGGAGGGTACATGCTGTACAGTCTCGCCCTCCCTTTCATCATTTTCAACCCCTGTGGCAGAAATCACACCGCCCTGCCATTTTTCCTGTTCCTCTCAACTTGTGGGTCCCACCCTCTCTTATGCTATGGGTGTTATCACCACGTATGTCTGTTGATCCAGATGGAATGGCTCTCTGAGTGGGTGAGAGGAACCTAGAAAAGAGACTTCAGTGTTTGGGCTTAATTACCAGAAGATGAGCTCCACATGGAAGTCATCCATAGGCAGAAGCCATTGGTTTCCTGTCTGACTCTCATTACAGGTTTTATGTTTTCTTTTTTGTGGCGTAGGAGGGCCAGTATATCATCTTTAAATTTAGATGATAAAAGGATGTCTCTCCATTTATTCTACCATTTATTCTACCATTCTCTAACCAAAAGGCTTGGTACTCTGGAATTCTGAGATTTAGAGAAATTCCTTTAGAAGGTAGACGTCTCTCCCTTCTATTAGCCGGGAAGAGTTGGGAGCATCTTTTGTTGTAAAATCCCCATATTTCTCAAAGAAACTTGACTGTCACCCAAATTTGCTTTTCAAATCCACATTCCATTTTCCCACAGAGGGTGGTCAATATCTATGCTCAGGGGAAGGGATGTTCCGAAGACCATCAGAAGGACAGTCTCTCATCAGCTACTTGTCTGAGCAAGACTTTGGCAGCTGTGCAGATCTGGAAAAGGTGAGGAATCTAAGGGGTTGCTAAGAGTCCCTGAGTTGAGAGATCTGATCTGAGAGGTTGTGGGCCTCTTGTTCTAAAGAGATTTGCGTACACGTCAGTGACATGGTATAGACTATAGTAAAGATAAGTTCATAATAAAGATAAGCTCAAGTTTTGTCTCAGGAGAGCTCTTCAGGGAGCATTTGTTCTTCACTGAGTCCAAAAATATTGATTCTGTCTTCGAAGCTACCTGGTCAGAGAAGCACTGAATTTTAGCTATGTGATGATTGTTTCCTTGACTCTGGAACCTTAGGTAAAAACTGTTTCCAGGGCCTCCCCGGTGGCGCAGCGGTTGAGTGCTGGGTTGCGAGGCTGCCCGCAGCCTCTGCGGCGCCGGTTCGATCCCCGGCTGCTCCCCGGCCACCGGAGGAGGGTCCCACATGGCGCGCAGACCTCTCCTGCCGCCCACTGCTCCCCTCGGCAGTGTACTTCGGTCCTTCTGCCTGCTCTGCTCCCCGCTCTGGCTCTAGTGAATTCTCTCACCCTCCTGTGCTTCTGACTGTACCCAGTGCATGTATAAACGAAACAAACGAACAAACAAACAAATAAATAAATAAAACATGCCTCTATAAAAAAAAAAAAAAAAAAAAACTGTTTCCAGAGTCAACATGTACATTTTGTTCTGATGCTTGTATAAATAACGTCCCCTGAGCATTTTGTACCGTACAACTCACTTTGTCTTGAAGCGTTGTATGTACCTTAATATTTTGTATACAAGTATATGACTTTAGAAGACTGATATGAAATCCTGGACTATATCTCTGTTATGTTTTTATGTACAAAGTAGGCCATGAATGGCCAAGTGTGAGAGCAAAGAGAATCTAGGACAGTTTTTCTGGCCACCAGCTTTCCTTATAGTTGAAATATACATTCCTCTTGGGTGATATGAGTAGAGTCATGGAAACTCTAATTTTCAATATTTTACATTAGTACTTTACTCTTATTTGAACTCTTAGTTTCAGTCAGCCTGGTCTGAAAAATAATATGTACAATAAGATATTTTGAAAGAGAGATGAGAGACCCATTCACATAACTCTTACAGTATATTGTCCTTTTTTATGATTGTTAATTTTTTACTGTATATAGTTTATAAATTAAACTTTATCATAGTTATGTCTATGTGGGAAAAAAACATAGTGTTTTATAGGTTGGGTACTGTCCACGGTTTCAGGCATCTTGGACTATATCTCCCAGGGATAAAGGAAGACTACTGAACTCAGTGAGACATCCAGTATTTTTAGCTTATTATTAACAACTTCTTTGATAATCTCTTTCCTGTAGGAGAATGCCCATTTCAGCATCTCAGAGTCTTTGATTGCTGCCATTGAGCTAATGAAGTGCAACATGATGAACCAGTGCCTAGAAGAAGGGGAAGAAGAAGAGGAAGACAGTGATAGAGAGATCCAGGAACTGAAGCAGAAGATCCGCCTTCGTCGCCAGCAGATTCGGACTAAGAATCTGCTCCCAGTGTACCAGGAGACGGAGCATGGAAGTAAGTAAGGTGTCAGCTCCTTTGTTCTGTTTCTGCAGGTTTTAGAATATAACTTGCTTCCTCATGGGCTTCCTTTTTTTTTTGGCCTTAATTTGAGATCTTATAATCAAATTGAGGGTTCCTTTGCTGTCAAAAAAATTTCTATGGTTTGATTTTTTTCCTACCAGACCAGAGTCTTAGAGTAAAATCCATTTCTTACCTCAAAATAGCTTCCAAAAAAATAGGTTTCTGCACAACAAAGCAAAAACAGACAATTATAAGTCAGAGACATACTGCAGGGGAGGAGGAAGGAGAGGGATCAGAGGGAGGAGCACAGGGGACTGTGGTGATGTGCACAGTGCCTTGGGGAAGGAAATTCTATAGGGACTCAACTCTATAGGGTGGGGGGAAGCAAATGTTATTTAAAAAAAATTATGTATTGTAAAGGTTAATGTAAAATTAAAAAAATTAAAATAAAATAACATAAAATAAACTTAAAAAAAAGGTTTCTGATATAAGGAAAGATTGCTGGTCTCAGATTCACTTCCCAGATAGTAGAATTCTATTTACATAAAATGTTCTAAATTTCAAAATAAAATGGAGCCAACCAACAAAAAGAGCTAGTTCTTACTTGCGCAGCATCACTCCCAGCCAGAGTTCTATTTACTTCTTTGTTGAAATCATACTGTGACCCTAGGAGTAGTAAGCCTCTTTCTGCCCTGTTTAATACTTTTTTTTTTTTTTTAACAGGTTTTCGGGTCACTTCTAGTAGCTCCCAGTTCAGTTCACGTGACTCGGCCCAGTTCTCTGACTCAGGCTCTGCCGATGAGATTGATGAATTTGAAATCCAAGGTAAGAAGTAGCAGTTTATTTCAAGGGGGCTTTCGTTACCTGCTCCTTTCGATTGGAATCATAGACTGAGAACCTTCCCTTCAATTTGGGATCTTCAACATGTTCCATTATGGGATGTTGTTACCTATTGTAAGGCATATCATTTCTTGCTAAAACCCCCCTTTAAATGTTAAGCAGAATACATCACTGAAAGGAAGAGTTTGAAGTGGAATGGACTGACTGTTAAAGTCAGAAAAGGACAGAAAGAGTTATTGGGGGAACAAAAGTAAAAGAAGGGGGAAAATCAAGTTTACCAAGTAGAGAAGTGATGCAAGTTTATAAAGTACTAATTTCCTTAGCAAAATCAGATTCCTGCTGTTATTGTGAGCACATGCATAACAATGAAATGCCCCCATGGGGTTCTAATCTGGGAAGGCTGTTTGTTAAAATCAAGCTAACCCTGTGATTAATGGGTCAATTAGTCCTATAGATCATAGGTTTCTAGAAGCTCTGATAAGTCCAACAAGCAAATGAATAAGCAAAAACACACAGATATAAGCTTTTCCCCCATGGATGAAACCAAGAGTAATTTTCTTTCAGAGGTAAATTGTACTATAATCCTCCATTACACAATGATGTTTATTTTATGACAACTTTTATTGCATGAGGTTTTGATTTCCTATTTATACCAATCTGGAGAATCCATTCAGCTGCGGAGAACTCTAGCTGTAATAAGCTGGGTTCTTCCCCAATCAGAAATACAATTTTTATACAATTTTTCACGTCACTAGGAAGTTTTTCTTGTGTTCATGATGTATCTGGTTTCTATTCATGACAATAATAATCACTTGAAATCCATTTTTGTCTTTGTAAATAGTTTTCCAACAATGGTTCTCTAATTATCTGGTACCAACTGAGTATCCTACATATCATTTCTGACCATAAATCCTGGAGTCGCCACATTCCGCACACATTAAGGGCTCAATCCTATGAGACTGTCCCTGTTTCAAATGCCAGATACAAATGTGGTCACCAGGCTACTTGCACACCTAACTATGCAACTGCAAATTCAGGGCTTCCCACCGTTCCCCATAGGAACCATAGTGACAGAGGTAAACTCACAGCATGCTCCTTCCCTGGTTGTGGAGCAGTCCACTTAACTACTGTAAAAACACAAAATTCATTCAATTTGGAAATCTAATTTGGAAATCTAATTGATTTTATTAAGTGATTCATGATTGAAGCAGATTCCATCTAGCAAGTAGAAAGAAACACTCAAAGAACTGTACAAAATGGAAGGTTTTTACTGTCCAAAGTGGGACAGGACAAGGAAGTTATTAGTAAAGTAAAAGAAAGGGTTTATTTCAGGCAAGATTATCTTCCCTTCAGTCCTGGGAAGGATGTGGTTTTTTTAAGCAGATAATTTTACTAATGTTGATCAGGAGAATTCCAGACTGATTGGTTTAAAACTCTATTCCTGGGAGAAGTTGAAACTGAAATTACACTAGCTATTTAGTCTGTGGAGTTTAGCATAAGTGATTCCATTTTGGGTCTATTGTTTCTTTTTAATGCTAAGTCTGTTTCTTGCAACAAAGCACAGAGCCTGGGGAAGTTGATCAGTCTGGGAGGAGTCACATTTGAAATAGCCTGCCTGGGGGTGGCACAAAGTGTATATATTGTATTGGAAACCATTGATACAGTATGGACCCAGAGGAGATGTTTGATTAGCTAACTCTCTAGTCAGTTTCAGAACAAAAATCCTTAAAGGGAAAGACCTTAAGGCAGAGTTTCTCAACCTCAAAGCTAGACTGTCCTAGACTGTCCTGTGCATTATAGAATGTTTAGCATGATGCCTGGCCTCTACCCATTAGGTGCTGGTAGCAATTCACCCTCCTCCTCAATTATGGCAATCAAAAATATCTTCAGAAATGTCAACGATCTGCAAGAGGACCAAGTTTTCCCTGGTTGAGAAACAAGGGAGGCCTTAGGAAGTGTTTAAGGTTAGGCTGGTTTGGGAAAGCAGCAATAATAAGCTGTAGTGAGTAGCTACTTGTGGACATTAGTTCCTACAAGCTGTTTCATCTTTTGGAGCAAAAGTCAATTGTCATTCTCATCAATTTACTTCATGTCTGAATACTACAGAACCTCCTTTTATAATCATTATTACACAGATGGTAGCGAAGGATCTAACCTGACTCACATGTCAATGAGTGGACTCTCAGTGTCAATGGCCTCCATGTTTTCAGGTAGCCTGTTGGAAGTATGGGTGTGCTCGTACATGCATGTTTGTGGATGTTTGCACCAGCTTCTGTATATACTTTATCATATGACACCTGTCAGAGTTATAAGGACTAAAGGGTTGCAGTGGGAGGAACTGAAGTGATTCCTGCCAGGAACATTCAGATATTCATTTTCTTCTTCCTCATGTCACCCCAACAGTCGTCCTTACTGAGATTGTCCTTGTTGATCCTTTTCTACAATAATAATTACAGATTAAATGGTCATTGTGGCTGATGGAAGTGGTGGACAGTTAAGAAAGGAATGGCCAGTTATAGAAATTTTAGTTGAAACTTGTAGGGAAGTTATTGCTGCTCATCCAGACAGCAACAATGTGACCCTTAGAGTCTCTTGTAGAGTTTTAAATTTGCAGAATCAACTTTCAGAAAGCTTTCTCTTCTAAGTACTTTGTATGCAATTATGATTTATTGCTGCAAGTGTTTGACCTCAGTAGTTGCTTTGTGATCCAAACAAATAAGCTTTCTATAGGTGGGATAACTGAAAGAAAGTAACAGGTTCCTATTCCAAGTGTCCTTAAAATACACAAACAACAAAACTCCAAACTTTTTATTAGTTGATTTTAACTGTTACTATTGTCAGCCACTAAAATCTCAATAAATTATATTAAAGGTTTTGAGAAATGAACATAATTTAGGTGCCTTATTCTCTACTCCTTACCAGTTATAATTTGTTCTTAAGTAGTCCTCCTCCTGCTTGAGAAGCAATTATCCAAAGTCACTTTTTAGCTGACTTCTAACTTAACCACTATAGTCCTTTGTTGTTTTGCTGATTGACTTCTCCAAGAGATCATATTGAATCTGCATCAATCATAACATATACTTTTATTTGGGCTTCCTAGCATCCTTTCTCCCCCATTTGAGAGTTTGGAAGCTTTTAAAAATACATATGAGAGGTTTTGCACAAGAATATGAAACACTTTCAACTAAAAAAATTACTTTAGCCCAACACATTATGAGAATGGGGGAAACAACCACAACAAGCATTTCTCAAAAGGAGTGGCTTGTTTTACCTTCCTGCCATACACAGAATCTCAGTTATGAAAGTATAATTGATAATTCACCTTTCTTGACTACTTTTCTTTCTCTGCATTGCTTTCTGTTTATCATCTCTTTCTGATCTTAGTCACATTTACTACTGTTATGAAATTCTTTCTAAAACTTTTCATTAGCAGTCTTCCTGACCAAGTCCAAAAGTTTACAGACATATTTCTTTTTGATGCCTTAAATGATTATGATATTTAAAAGTCTCTTGGGATACTATCAGAGGAAGGTCATCATAATCCATAACACTCTTAGAAAAATTAAAGTACTTAAGCATTGTATTATGAACTTGATAAATACTCTGCATACTATAACATTCTGCTTAATATAAATATACCATTATATTTATATATGTGTTTAATATAAATCATATTTCTTGGATCTTGATTTATCTAGTAGACCTATGTATCAATAGCAGAAGTGTTTATAAAGGAAATACATTTGAAAGTTACTTCCTTCTGGCAATAAAGTGGATATAAACCATGTGATCATAGGAACCTTATTCATAGAAAGCTTTGTATTCGTCAGCATCTGTTTATTTTTAAAAAAAACAATTTTATTGAGGCATAATATAAAAATTCACCCACTGTAGTGTACAGTTCAGTGATTTTTAGTAAATTTACTAAGTTGTTCAATCATTGCCATAATCTAATTTTATAACATTTTTATTTCTCCAGTAAGATCCCTCGTGCTCCTTTACAATTAATTCAAATTCCTATCTCAAACCCTATTCCACTATTAATCCACCTTCTGTCTTTGCGATTTGCCTTTTCTTGACAGTTCAAATAAATGGAATCTTACAATATGTGATCTTTTGTGTCTGGCTTTTTACTTCATCTGCTGCTTCTGATGGTATCTGCTAAATTGGTGTGACACCATTCATGAATCTCGCATTCTCATTCAGTCTTTTCAATTTCTTTAGTTTTAGGGTTTTGTTGTCCTTTATCCCCCATTCAGCCTCTTCTGTTACAGTTTCATCACTTCTTAGAAGGCAGCTATGCTAACCACTATAACACCAGTGCTTTGGCACATCACATCAATTCTTCTTTCTCTTCCTTTGTAGAATCTTAGTCTTTCATATACAAAACACATATGGCAGAAACCACAGTAACTTGAATAGGGAAAATTTAATATAAAGAATTATTAATAAGGGGCATTGAAGTAATGGGAGGCTGGCCCATAAAGAGTAAAGAGAAATCTAGAGAATATGGGAATAGCAGACAAATGTGGTAGACACTGTCACTCAGGCTGAAGTAGAACATCTGGGAAAAGAAGGAAAATATATCAGTAGAAGAAGGCTGTATCCCCAAGGCTGAGCTTCAGGTCTCCTGGCACACTGGATAGTGGAACAGTGCCTCTGAAGCTGCAGAGGTACCCTGAAAGAGTGTGAGGGGACACTGTCCTTGGGAGATGCCTTGCCAACAGCCTTGCCCAGAAACTATTCTCTGGAGTGCAGGAGAAGGCTGGCGCCAGGGAGTTGCCATGACTTAGGATACAGGAAAAAATGGTTCATGGGAAGTGCTAGGCCTATGGTACTTGCTATGAAGCTTTCCCAGGAGGTGCCAAGGGAAACCTTTTATGAAAAGTACCCCTAGTGGCACTGGGCTGCAAACTGCGTGAAGGCACTCTTCCCCAAGGGAAAGTCACAGCTGCTACAGGAGTCAGCCCTGAGGAGCACACCAGAACCAGCAAGAGAAACCCCTTCCGTATCCAGTGTCCCTCCAGTGCCCTCTACTGACAAAGCTTAATATCATGCCAGCTGGCAGAAACCAGCGTTTACCAACCAGTCCAGTTGCATTATTACAGAGCAGACAAAACAGAAGGGCAGGATTGGAGTTGGTAGGCAATAAATTGGTAATATAATGTATAAAGACAAAGTTTATAAGCTGTATTTTCTGACAAGTTTTTAAAAGTATATCCAATTCAAGCTAATCACTTGCTTCTCACCAGCCCCCCCTTTTTAATAAAAAATTTTTCTCCTTATAAAACGATAACAACAGTGTCCATTTTAAAGTATTTTCTCTTGGGTCAGCAGTTATAGGAAGTTCATTGAAGTTGGATTTCTAAATGTGTTGGGTTATCACCTTATCTAGAAGGAAAGCAGGATGGAGACTAACATCAAATTGACCAATAAATTCTAAATTGACTCTCTTAATCTGCCTCACTTACTTTGTTTAAAAATTTATAGATTTTGCTAGACTATCAAAGTTCTAAGTGGTTCTTCCCTGATCATCCCACTATTAGTGTCTGGATGTGCAAAAATTTTTCTTATAATGTCACTTTTTTGGGGGTTTGTTAGTTGGTTTTTATATTTTTGAGCCTTTTTTCAGTCAATAGTAATAACCTTACCTAAAGGATCAGAAGCATTTCATATCAGTTCTGTTAGGAAAGAAATACTTGTTTTTATAGAATGAATCAAAGATTTTCATAATTACATTAACTTCCACTTGGAAAGTGATCTCAAACTTCTTTCTAAATGCTCTCATTTGAGGTATGTTTAATCCATCTAGTTGAATAGTTTTTTCCTCTATATTTATTCCTTACTTGTCTGTCTTAGACCCTGGTCTACTTTTATTCAGATCTTCAGTTAGTTTTCCAGCCATATTCATTTAATTATCTGTTTGAACTGACTGCAGAGTCAGTAGGATGCAGCCAAAGCCCAGTACTCTAAGGGCCTTTATGAGACTTAATAGTGTCAGTTGTCATGTGCCTTTGATAACAGGTGTTGCCTCTCCCTCACCACTTCTAGAATAAGATCTTTACATCCTAAGCTGTGTGGACATTTACACTCTAGAAGTATTCTTTGTTAGCTACGAAGCCCCTGCCACGTACCACTGACCTCATTGCACTGCTGTTAAAAAAAAAAAAAGAAAAAGAAAAGTATAAAAGAATATGACTTGAATATATTTTCCAAAGGAAAGAGAATATTTTTTTCTCCCTCAAGGGGAAAAAAGACTTCTCTGTGAGGATGAAGAAATGCTGAAGAGTTTTTATGATGACAATGGTTTCCTTAGCAACCATGAATTATCAACCATCTCTCCTCTTTGGTTTACAGTATTTTCTTTAATAGTCTAACCCTGAAGTAACAACACTGGTTAGCTCTTTATTCAAGCATACCTAAGACATTCTCTCATTTTCCCTTCCTTATCACTCATAAGCAGGCTGAAATTTGCTCTTTGCTTTTAGCCAGTTAATCATTCATTTAGAAAATATTTTCCAAAAGCCTATTACATGCAAAGCACTCTGAAGATTACAAGGACAAGGCAATGTACAATTCCAAGCAGTATAAGTGTTAGCCAAATAAATGTTACAAGCCAAATGGTCTGCAAAAATCTGGTCCACTATTGCCTGGAATTGTTTTGCTATCTTCACTAACTCTAGTATTTAGAATTGTATAGACAACCAGCAGTGTAGTGGAATTTGGATTTTGGTGGTTCAAATTCGGACAGAAAATATAACATAAATGATCTTTGTTTCTAAGTAAAATCTGATGTGTTCTTTACTAGTCAAATGTTTTGTTGCTGTTCTCAGTTTTTCTGTGGTTAGAGAATATATGAAAACTAATCTGATTTAAATTCTGTTCTATCACTTGTGTATATAGCTTTTGAATATTCTAGACATTAATTTGTCAGGAATATTATTTGAATATGTGCTTGTATACAAAGTTCTTTGTTAGGTATTTTGAAACCAAATAGAAGAATTAGACACAATTTCATTTCCTTGCAAGGAGATTTTACAGTCTAGTGGCACATACAAAAATATAAACACACACACACAGGAGCATGAAGAACAGTTGAGCTACTCATGGCTAAGTACAGAGTGATGTCATGTAAGTTTACTGCTCATTGTATAGGCTTAGTTAGGAAAAGATCTTTTCTCTGGACATTGAAAGAAAGGAATGAGACTTATCAGAATAGTCGTGTTTTCTTGACATGAATAGGCTCTATTTGCCATGGCTCTTATATTTCACATACTCCTCATCACAAGTATGGGGGAGATGAGGTCTCTGGAGAGTCAGGCATGTTATTATTAGAAATCCTCCTCAAAATCCTTTATCAGAAATAGGCTTTGGAAAACCTACCATAGTTTCCTGTAATTATGCCTGAGGATTCTATAATAAAGATTATATTGGCTAGCTCTGTGAATATTTGAATATTATATTGGATATTATATTGGATATCTCCATGAATATTGATTACCAAGTATCTCCAGCAAGTTGCCAATCCATAGAAAAGCTTTTTTCTTCCTTGTGCTGCTAGACAGGAAGGAAATCTTCTCCTTGGTGCTTTTTTAAGGATATGGAAAATTTCTCACACTCAAGGGTAACAGCAGTAGTGGGGATGTCAGAAGAAAAGTTTCAATTCCATGTACATTTAATGAGTAACCTCTATGATTCAAATTCTGTATTCGGCACTGATACTACAGTGATACTATTGTGATACTGCAAAGAACTGGACAGAATTCTTGCCTCTGAGAGTATGTTATTTAAGAGATCTTGAGATTTAGAGAATAAGGGAGCGATTGGAGTAATTTATTTCATGTTTCTGCGTAGTAGAGGGTGTGTTCCTGTGATGCTTCTTTTTCTTATTTACTGTGTTGTACCAAATCTGAGTTTGTATTTCCATCTAGATTTGTAGCCACTTTGACCTTTATAATGCTATGCATTGTCACTAATTCAACCTGATTGTGACTTGAACAGAGCCAAACTATTAATTGTGTGTAGTGCTTCACCTGGACTCTGCTCCTTACCCCCATTCCTATCCCCTCTCCCCTAGAATGGAGCACCTAACCACTACCCTGAGCGCTTAGCTATCAATACCTTGAATGACTTCTATAATTAATCCTTTACCTCCTCTGTTTCTCATTTTTGCTCCACTTATCACTGGTTTCCATTTAGATGCTGACATCAGAAGGAACACAGGCTCAAACAGCAAATCCTTCATTTCTTCCCAGTCCTTGTAAGTACTTTTTGTTTGTGTGTATATTTTCAAATATCAATATAACCCTTAAGAATTTGGAGGAACAAAACCTAATGTAGGCATATGGATGGGAAAGGATGTGGATGAAACCATCCAGATTCACAAAGTGGCAAGGTTAAAATGATTGGCCTCCCTGATGGTGGCAAGTCCAAGGAAAGAGAACAGAAGATCATTGGTTCAAAGATGGTAGAATCTGGTAGAAGCAATCCTCTGATAGAGGGTATTCCTTCTCTGCTGACTGTGATAATATCAGAGGCCCCCAAAAGATCAGGTCTTGAGAGAGCAGTGAATCATGATTAAACAGGTTTCATCACTGTGGCCCCATATAGGGAAAATAGCAGCTTACTTGGGGTAACAATAGTACTTTATGATCTTATTTTCTAAACAAACTTTATAAATACTCATTATGCCATTAAAGAAACTGAAGTTTAGAGATAGGAAATGATACATAATCCTTAACTAACACTGCTGTGTAACGCTACTAAGTAGAGTTGTAGCCTTAGTAGTAGGACTACATGTAAGACCAGTACATTTTTCACTAAACACATGTGTGAAAATGATAGGAAAAGCTGAGCAGACTGGGCATGCTACTAATATTCTCTTAACCCAGAAGTCAGTGCATATAGTATCAGATCCTGAAGGGAAAGCTCCCGTCTTCTTGTCTAGCTGTGCTAACCTTTCCTTGAATCTTTCCTTTCCAGCTCCCATTGCTTCCTACACTCCACATCTGCAGAGGCAGTGGCCATGGGGCTCCTGAAGCAGTTTGAGGGGATGCAGCTCCCAGCTGCCTCAGAACTAGAATGGCTAGTTCCAGAGCATGATGCCCCTCAGAAGGTAGGTTTTTCAGCTTATTTTCTGTACCCTCTTTCCAGCCCCAGGGGACTGGACAGGCTTTCTGAACTTGTACTTCTTTATCCCATGTCTCCAGTCTAGAATGAACTAGAAAAAAAAAACTATGTGTTTTTCCTTTTTTACTCACAGAAGTCATTCATTGCAGATGCATTAAATGAATGAATGAATGATTGCTTGCCTAGGTTTTCCCTACAATTGTCAAACCAGGAGAAATTCCACATGACAGCTCACTAGTGAGACCCAGAGGTGGAACTCCTGTGTTATGACCACTTTTGAGACACCATGAAAAAGTGAATTGTTCAGATGCTTCTTTGTTTTGCAGTGGAGTGAGACATGAAGGACCCGGCATGCCAAGGGTCCTAGAGTGCATTCAGGGACAGCATTAGCAATGCATGCCACCAAAGTGGGGTGATGTTTCTATTCCATTTGCTTCTTGGAACCCAAGGCCCTCATGTCTAGTAGCCTGGTGCCTTATGTTTTTTTTTTTTTTTTTTTTTTTTTTTGAGGGTCAAGTTTCTCTGAAACCCTTACTTAGAGTGCTCCTGAAATGTCTTTCATCAATTAACTATGCTTCTGTCGTGGCCAGAGGGTCAAGCCTATGAGTTTCTGCAGATGGTCCATGTTACCTCTTCCTGTGCTTTTCTTCTGTAGCTCCTGCCCATCCCTGACTCACTGCCCATTTCACCAGATGATGGGCAGCATGCTGACATCTACAAGCTTCGTATTCGTGTTCGTGGCAACCTGGAGTGGGCCCCACCAAGGCCTCAGATAATTTTTAATGTTCATCCAGCCCCAACGTAAGTAGCCAGTGGCTATGCCTTGTGGAAAAATGGATAACACCCTCTGGATTATCAGGACTAACTCCTTACCCTCTCATCTTGGCCTGTAGCTGTACCTCCTACACAGTTCTATTCACTGAAAGGCATAAAGAGAGAATTATCCATCTTGGCCTTAATTTTTATACTTGATCCTCCCATTCCTTCCCAGAACTAACTGGAAATGAGGTCTTTGATCACTGATATTCCCAACCTGTTGCCTTTTTCCTAATAGTTTTGGGAGATTACTGTCCTTTTAAGATAAGTGGGTGTTTTTCTCTCTACTGTGTCTAATCTCTTATATTTGTACAGAAAGCATGGTTAATTAGTGGGGAGAGTTGCTGCCAAGACTTAAATTCATACCTCATAATTCTTGGCTTGTATTAGTTCTTCTAATGGGTTCTTTTTTTTCCAACTCTAAAAAATAGCTGAATCTCTCTCTGTGTATCCTCACCTTTATGTCTCAGAGGCCTCATGCAGCTGGTATTTCCAATTTCCTTTCTTTCCCCTTTCCTCAGGAGGAAAATTGCTGTAGCCAAGCAGAATTACCGATGTGCAGGATGTGGCATCCGGACTGACCCAGGTGAGTTTCTTTCCTGACCTCCAACCTACCTCCAAGGACTTTATCATCTCCCACAGTTGAGAGAGGGACTGACCAGAGATATAGTAAGAGCAGGTGACAGAACAGAATGGGGGAAAGTGAAAGAAGGGGTCTGAGGAGAAGGCTTAGGACTGGGAAAGAATGCTGGAACTCAGAGGAAATTGTTTCTGGGAGCTCATTACCAGTATTGTATACTGAAGAAAATTGAATACTTTCAGCCAGATTCTTGGAGGTGAGATCTTACCAACTGTGGCAGGGTTTGTTTACTCAGTGGCCTTTAGAGGGTTGGGACACAGGTTGGAGCCCAGTGGCTCACTCTTCCAGAAGAAGCAGCAAAATCATGCTGCCTCACGAGCTTGTACCTCACCAGATGGGAAAGTCACACCTGACCTTGTGACTTGCCCATCTTTCCAGATTATATCAAGCGGCTGCGGTATTGTGAGTACTTGGGCAAGTACTTCTGTCAGTGCTGCCACGAGAATGCCCAGATGGTCATACCCAGCCGGATTCTGCGCAAGTGGGACTTCAGCAAGTACTGTGTCAGCAATTTCTCCAAGGACCTACTCATAAAGATCTGGAATGATCCTCTCTTCAATGTGCAGGACATCAATAGTGCCCTTTATAGGAAGGTCAAGCTGCTCAATCAAGTCCGGGTAAGACCATGGAAAAGGCTGCACCATTGAGTATCCTTATCATCCCCTTACCCCTCTGTTTCTATTCATACAGGCTTTCCCAAGATCACCACACTTGTCTTTGTCCCCGTTTCATCATTCATGCTTTCTCTGTGTACTTTCTTAATTTCTTGCCATTTCATAGGTATTTGTCTAGTTAAAAGTCTCATACCTGGCAATAGCAACTCAAGCTATAAATAACACTCAAGCAAGATTTTTCTCTTCACTGAAAATATTACTAAATAGAGAATAGGGTATCAGATGGGGGATTCTAATTCTGGGTTTCACAGCTGATTCCAGCTGTGTATGTGATTTGGACAGATTGACCTATAAGAGGGGTCTTCCCTGACTGGGAGTCACTTTGAAGTGAGTTGTTGAGTTACAGTTTAGAAAACAGTCTAGTTCTGGCTGCTGCATGCACAACTTCCAGACCCCCAGGGTTTGAAGGTACATCTAACAGTTGTCTATCTCTTTTCCACACCTCTTCTCACTCCCTGCCCATCACCACAATGTCTTACTCTTTAGCTGCTGCGAATCCAGCTATATCACATGAAGAACATGTTCAAGACATGCCGACTGGCCAAAGAGTAAGTCTTAAAATTTTTTTTTGTTGATTTTTGCATTGAAGAACTGGGGTGTAGGCCAGAGGTGCAGGGATGAGTGGATTCACCAGAGGCAGAGTGGGGAGCAGAGCAGGTGGATTTACTGAAATACACTGCTAAAGGAAGCAGCTGGTAAGACAGGAGAGGTCTGCTGCACCATGTGGTTTAGCTCCCAGGCCAGGGATTGAACTCGGGCCATCATAATGATAGCACTTAACTTCTAGGCCACCAGGGAGGCCCCCAAAGAGTAAGTCTTAAGTGGAGGCCGGTGGTCTCTGGTTGAATTAATGTCTATGAAAGAGACATGTCCCAGCAGTTACCCTTGTTATGTGAAGGAGAGTAGGGGAATCTTGCAGAAAATTCCAGAAATATTAAATGGGGGAGGAGGGGGTGCTAGCTCAAGGGTAGAGCCTTTGGCTACAGAAATGTTAAAACCACAGCACAGTCCGTAACCTTCTTCCTGGTACGGAAATCTGTGATCATTCTATCCAGGGCAGACCCACCTCTGCTCATTATAAGCTGGCATGAATCACTCTGTGAAGAAGTATCAAAGTCACTTCTGCCATCCAGACACCTGGCATTGTGGGAGGGAATACCTGGGCTGTCTGAGTGTTGCCCATCCTCATTACCTCTGCCTGGGACCCTTCTCTTCCCCTTCCTGCTGGTCTGTTATGCCACATAAAATGTTCATTCCTGCTCCAACCCACTTTTCCTCATTTCCTGTAGGCTTCTGGATTCCTTTGATGTAGTTCCGGGCCATCTGACAGAGGATCTCCACCTGTACTCACTGAATGACCTGACTGCAACTAGGAAGGGGGAGCTGGGGCCCAGGCTTGCTGAGCTCACCAGGGCAGGGACTGCCCACGTAGAGCGCTGCATGGTAAGAAAGTCTTGCTTTAGCTTGTAACTGGGCCCTTACTTCCTTGCTTAGAGTTACAGAAAGTGCTGTGGACCCAGAGCTCTTGCCATTTAGTTCTAGGAAGCTGAAGTAGCCTGTCAATACTGTGAAAGAAACTGAAGAGGAGTGCCGTTCCTAGGGCTGGTGAACAGCCAAATCATCTAGATCTAAAGAACCTAGAATTAGAGGGAGATTTAGTGTTGGCCTCTGGGTAATGGGCAGGACTAAGCAGATTTCCACTAAAGAATTGTCATGACAGGGCCTCCCTGGTGGCACAGCGGCTGAGCGCTGGGCTATAAAGCTGCCCGCAGCCTCTGCAGCGCTGGTTCGATCCCCGGCTGCTGGGCGACGGTCCCACATGGCGCGCAGACCTCTCCTGCCGCCCGCTGCTCCCCTCAGCAGTGTACTTCAGTCCTTCTGCCTGTTCTGCTCCCTGCTCTGGCTCTGGTGAATTCTCTCACCCTCCCACGCTTCTGACTGTACCCAGTGCTTGTATAAATAAATAAATAAATCTTTAAAAAAAAAAAAAAAAAGAATTGTCATGACATGGGAGGAAAGTCCTGAATTAGCATCTGAGAGGGACTTGGTTTTAGTTTTATTGTTTTTAGTCACTGTGATCAAAGGGAATACTTTGCTTCTCTGAGATTATTTCTTGTCCTTAAATGTCTTAATCTTCTTATATCTAAAATGAAGATAATAATATCCACTGCCCTGTCCTCTCAGTTTTTGAGGATTGATCAAAAAATTTATGTGAAAGCATTTTATAGCCTAAGTATTCTATTGTATTCTATAGCTATGTTATTATTGTTCTTGATAGACCCAATATGCCAAAAATTCCATCTTTATGATTTCCCGTCTTAGATACACCCAGTTTTTATTCTTCTGACAGTTCTAGAGTTAGAGATCAAAATGGAGCTTATACAAAGAGTCCTGTATAGTATAGGGAATTAGAAAAGACTTGCACTAACCTGACTCAAGGCTGTGTGTTTTTTGGAGAAATATCCTTGCCTTCCCATTTTATCTTAATTGTTTGTGTTTCCTATTTCTATTTTTTAAAAAGATTTATTTATGCATACATGAATTGGGGTACAGGCCAGAGGTATAGGGGGTGAGAGGATTCACCAGAGACAGAGTGGGGAACAGAACAGGCAGACTGACCGAAGTACACTGCTGAGGGGAGCAGCAGGCGAGACAGGAGAGGTCTGCTGTGCCTTGTGGGTCACCTCCCTGTCTGGGGATCAAACTTGTGCTGCAGTGGCTGCGGGTAGCTTCATAGTGCTATATCTTAACCCCTTGTGCCACCAGGGAGGCCCCATGTTTCCTATTTCTAAATAAAATCATTACCCAGACTGGAGTATTGACTTTAAGAAGTCTTTAATGGCACATTCCTTCCTTCTTTTCATCTCTTCTTTGAGAGCCATTCCAATGATAGGGTTTTCTCAAGCTCTTGCCTCTCTTAGCTCCACCTTAGAGCCTTGTCTGGCACTGCCCAACCTGGCCCATGTTTGGCTTCCAAGCCCAGCTCTGTTCTCTTCCCAGAAGGCAGGAGAACCTTTTAAAGCTCATTCATATCTTATTTATATTTTTCCCCTGCCCCCATTTGTGGTCACCCACTGGTGCCAATTCCTGCTATGCTGCCCCTCATTTTGATGCCTATCCCTTTCCTCCCCAGCTCTGTCAAGCCAAAGGCTTCATCTGTGAGTTCTGTCAGAATGAGGATGACATCATCTTTCCTTTTGAGCTCCATAAGTGCCGGACCTGTGAAGGTGAGGCTGGTGCCAGCTGTGGGGTGGGAAAACAAGACTGAACACAGTGGTATATTTCCATTCAGTCACCCTATTAATAAGAGTTTGACTTGACTCGGCAACTCCTGGTGTTTCACCACAGGAGCAATTAGCTGCATGGTGAGAAGGGCTATTGCAGTCACTTACTTCCAATTTGAGATAATACAAATTGCTCTCTTCTCTTTGTCACTTCCCTTCCTGAATAGAGTGTAAAGCATGTTACCATAAAGCTTGTTTCAAGTCTGGACGCTGTCCCCGGTGTGAGCGGCTGCAGGCCCGGCGGGAGTTGCTAGCCAAGCAGAGTCTGGAGTCCTACATGTCAGACTTCGAGGAGGAACCTGCTGAAGCCTTGGCTCTAGAGGCCACCATCCTGGAGACCACCTGAAGAAAGCAAGTTAGGCCCTCTTTCTAGGGCTAATGTCATACATAATGCAGAACTGAGCCACCCTTATAAGGACTTTCCCCACTTGTGTTTTTTTTTTTTTTTAAATTATTATCATTATTATTTTATATGACTTGTTTAATGTCCAGGTTGGTGGGGTCCATTCTGTTATGACCATTTGTTGGTTCCAGGTATTTCCATCAGAAGTGATACATAGATCTTTAGATGAAACTTCTAGTGCCTCTGTCAGGGGGATGGACCATGAGACCTAATTCTTCTGACATCCATGGCCTTTCCATTGGATCAGCTGGCATTTCCAGTGGCATGTCCATTGGTTTCAACTGTATTTCAAGTATGATTTCCAGTTTTATTTTGTTTCAGTTCTAGAGCTTCTGAGCCAGGCCTGGTCAACCAACTCACTTCTCCTTTGCTGCTAAACAGGAGGATGGAGTATTCTCTCTCCAAGTCCTGGAATAGGGTCAAACTGTGCCCTGAGGAGAAGCAAAAGAAATTGGACTATGTCATGGGCATTCTGTCCAACTTATTTAGGTATTTTTGAGAGCATATTAGAATCCTCAGAAACCTCGAAGCAGCCAGGATTTTCTTGTTTGAAATATCCAGGCACAGATGATGTAACAAGCTTTTATTTACCTTGGTGGTGTTAAAACCACCAAGAAAAGCTTAGTCCAGTGCCATTTGTAGCCTTATACCAATCATAAGTGAGGCTACAATTCTGTTGACCTTATAAGAAGCATTTATCAGTCAGAGGAGCTGTTGGCTTCCTTTTCAGTGATAAGATCCCTCTCAGTCACCTTAGGTCTTTGGTGCAAGTACGGTCTTTTAAGCTTAGGCAAATCCGTGATGCCATCTTCAGTTGAGGACAGAAGCTCCATTCACCATCTTTGTAGGACTCTTTCCACTATGTCCTTGGCTAATGGTCATTGTGGTTCTGAATGAAAATATGTCCAAGTCCATTCCTTCTCTCCTCTTCCTGCAGCAGAGTTGGAACCTTCCCTGGTGGCTGATTTCTGTCGAGTTTCTTTTGTTAAATTTGGGGGGCAAAGCTTTCTACTATTAGTGGTGGTAAAGACTTTGACAATTTGTGGATATGTGGATGTTCCTGTGTTCTTGGGCTAACAAAAGCCTTTATGCCAATTATGCACTTAACTCTCTAGCCTAGTGATATTCTTATGTTCAACCGTCCTCTTCATAGTACTAATTTTAGTACACACACACACACACACACACACACCCTCTTTTTAAGTGTGTATTTTGATGAAACTGTATATACGTTTGTGGTCTTTAAGTTGCAACAGCTCCTGACCTGTGTGGTCAGTGTTCCTATTCCAAGGACTGACAGCTCTATGAATTAAAGCCCACAGCAGTTTTGTTCTGGGACTGACTTCTTCCTTTCTACCTGTCTGTCCATAGTTGGTTGCTAGTAGAAAACACTTAATAGGGGTACTACCCCAGAAAGCTGAACAGAACGTTGCACATGGTTGGTGGAAGCTGATGAGTGCCTGAGTTGGAGCATGCAAGAGTCTCACAGGAAGTAGAAGGAACATAAAGGTAAAGACCAGAGCTGAGACTCCACCAGGGCAAGAGGGAGCAGGGAGGAACTGATTCATAAAGTGGGTCCCTCTGCCTCAGACTTGGGATCTGAAGGCTGGGTGGGTTAGAACGCCCAGAGTGTTCCCTTCCCTTAGCTAGGAGGCTCTGAAAACCAGTGCCTCAGAAATAGCTGAGTAGAAGTTCCCCCATCCTTTAAGGAGCTTTGGGCATGACCCCATAAAACTCAAGTCTCGCTAAAGGTTAGTCTTCAGGTTCAGACTTAGAGGGTTGAAAAAATGGTGAGCTCTACTTGCAGTTTTGATTAAAATTTCAAGTCCAGCTCCTTATTCCAAGTCACTACACTGGAAGAGAGACATACTCTCTGTCCTGCCCATTTCATATTAGCATAGGATCAAGGAAGGAAAATGCTGACACAGTTTCTAAAGCAGAGCTCAGTGACCATACATGCTCCTGCTTGTTTTTCTGCTTGTTTTATTCCCATCTCCCGTATCCATCCCTATTGCATATCTGTTTTAGTGACCCTGACACTCTGCTGTCATCACTGTTTAAATATCCATTTGAGAGTAGGGGGAGAGAGGAAAGTGGATAGGATGTTTTGAAAGCACTTTGTAACTTACCAGTATCTAAAAATCCCCTACTGTTGTGGAGAGAAATTTTGAATGCACTGAAGAAGAGTTCCTTCTGAATTAAAGGGGAGGAAAGAAGTGTTCTTTGCTATAAATGAAGGGAAAACAATTTTGCTTGCTAGGTGGAGACAAGATTCAAGTCATAGCAGAAGAGTGGGAGGCATATATTTTCCACTTAAATGAGGCTGTTATTGACTTTCTCTGCCAATGCTTTAGAATTTTTGTTTGATTTAATATAAAAGGAGCAAGAGTCTAAATAGAGATGTTCTGTGTGTGTACAACTTACATTCTGAACTGGATTTTACTTGCTGTCGTTCATGTACAGCCTAACAATTCATTGTCATATTTAATAAACTAAGGAAATGAAAGTCTGCTGTTTGTTTGCCTGCCTTGACTATCAGGAAACAGTATTGAGAGTTTACTGTAAAGCAGATATGTCTGAAAATTCAAAGGGCTTCTGTAATATAATGCCAGAAAACTGGACCTAACAAGTCAGGAGAGTGCTTGAAATGCTTCAGCACTGACTTGCTGTGTGACCGCGAGCAAGTCACTTCCAATCTCTGGATTTCTGTTTCTTCATGTATAAAAGACTCTGTGGCATGTTGTCCTTTCAAATGTATGTGCCCACACCCTTGGCATGCTGTCCCTTAAAGTGAAGTGGATCTTTGCCTCCACAACATCTGGATTGTCTCAGATGTTTCCGTTTCCTCTTCCGTGAACATCTGTCTCTGGCTTTTTCTCTCATGCTCCTGGCCCACTGGAGCTCTAACTCCATCCTGAAACTTTATCAACATTTCCCTCAGATCCTTGATCATCTCCAGGTGGTATGTCTAAAATCAACATAAATATCATGTTTCCCAAAACCTAACCAATAGCCACCCCAGTCTGAAAACTTAGATGTATTGGACTCCTTTTTCTCAAGTGGTATTTGTTGGTTTAAAGTGGCATTTTCAGCTTATAAAGCTTCCCACCACCTGTTACCAAAATTTTGTTGATTTTCCTCTTTAAAATAAACCTCTTGTTTCTTTTCTACCACTAGCACACAAATTTAGGTTCTTATCTTACCTCTCAACTATCTCCAACCATGCCATTTCTCCCTACTTACTCATTCATCAAATATTTGGGTAGCTACTATATGCCCCTTCTGTGGTAGACTGGGGCTACAGTGCCCCAAAACAGAGACAGCCCACCCTTGAGAAACTTAGAGTCTTATGGGGGAAACAGACATTGCTCAGAGTCACCATAATGAGAATGTAATTACAAGTTGTAATTGTCACCATAATGAGTATGTAATTACAAGCGCCATGAAGGAAAAGAGCACATATGCCATCTGATTTTATACATGTGTGTATATATGTGTAATATATATATATATGTGTGTGTGTGTATATATATATATATATATATACACATATATAAAACAAGGATACTTGATTTACAGTACAACAACTAAGGCCCCTTAGAAAGTAATATCTTAACCAAAACCCAATGTGTAAGGCTCTTTCTGGAGAGGAAGGGAAAATGATAACAAATCTCCCTCCCTCCCTCCTGTTTCTGTATTCACTTGTCCTTGTTTCTGTATTCGCTTCTGCCTCATCCTCTTTGGTAGCCACTGATTACTTTTCTGCTTATCCTTATCCTTATAGTGATTATATGTACATCACACGCACAGAAACACACACACTCCTTATTCTTTACCTTTTAAAAAGTAGCATACTATAGACATATTTGTGTACCTTTTTTTCTAACAGTATTATCTTAGAGAACTACCTGTATGAAGCATTTCCTTTATTTTAAAGCTGCACATTTTGATTGTATGGATAGACAATATGATTACCTATTGATGGGCTTTTACGTTATTTCTAATCTTTATTAATACAAATAATGCTACAATGAAAAAAACTTGATCATTTTCTATGGGTGCATGTGTATCATAGGATAAATTCTCTAAAGTAGAAAGGTCAGCACAAAAAGATTCACTTACAATTTTGTTAAGTATTACTAAATTGTCCTTCATGGTAGGGGTAAGTAGAGCAGTGGGGAGTATGGAAAACATTACTGTGGGGTCTCACTTTCCTGCTCCTAACTCACCAGTGTTCATTTTCACATAGCATAAAGTTTGATTCTTCCCCTGGCACTTAAAGGATCTTTCATACACAGCCATACTTTTTAATTTCCTAACCTCATCTGCCATTCCCTGAATTACTGAACAATTTCCTTAATGCACTTTGATCTTTCTTTCTTTAAAGAGGTATTTCACCTACACCCCAGCTTTCCCTGACTGACTTTAACTCTACCCATCCTCCATGAACCCTTGGCACTCTCTAAACTTCCTGTTAAAGCACTTCTCATGCAATCTTGTTATTTAGTGTTCCCCCTTTTAGCACAACAAGCAAACATGACTTAGTTGAATGAATGCATGAATTGCTGGATGGCCATTAGAATATAATGGAGACAGGTGGACAGCTTTAAGTGTGCTTCTTGACAAGGATTGCCTTCACTGCAGCAATGGCATTTAGTTACCACTGTCAAACACAGTCCTTTTTAATCATTCTAAACTCATAGTCCTTATGCAAAAACCTGATGATCCCCAAAGACCCAGCTCAGGCTCTTCCAAAGTAAGTCAGAAAGACGCCTGCTGAGTTCTTAGGCAGAAAGGAGGCCCAGGCAGGGGCAGTCCACTTGTGCTCATTCTGGCTGCTCTCTTTCCCAGGCAGTCTCTTGGGCCCTGCAGTCAGGTGAATTTAGTCACTTCTCCTCTTAGCCCTGTGGATCTTTGCAACAACTGCTCTACCTTTTTTTTTTTTTTTTTAAAGATTTATTTATTTTTATACAAGAGCTGGGGTACAGGCCAGAGGCGAGGGAGGGTGAGAGGATTCACAAGAGACAGAGCAGGAAGCAGAACAGGCAGATGACAGAAATACACTGCTGAGGGAAGCAGCGGGCACGACAGGAGAGGTCTTCTGTACCATGTGGGATTCTCGCCGGCCAGCCAGGATCAAACCTGCACTGCAGAAGCTGCGGACAGCTTCACAGAGCTGTGCTCAACCCACTGTGCCACCCGGGAGGCCCCTGCTCTACCTTTTTATTATCAGCTTCAGTAGGTCTCATTTCTTCTAACTTAAAGAGCCTGAATAGAGCACTCACCCAAGTCTGAGATAAATATGAAGCCTGCTGGTGCTGGGGCTCCCTAGTCTAATTGCAAGACTTACCCCACATCAGGGACCCCCAGAGGATTTTAATGTAGACAAACTCTGATGCCTAACCCCTCAGAGTCCACATGGATTCAACTACCTATCTCTTTCCTATACAAACAGACAGACACTATTCCTGGAGAGGAAGGGGTGAACCTCTTGGGGAAAATTCCATTCTTGATATGATGTGCTTCTTTCCCCACCTCTCAGTGGGAATAAAAGTGATCAAAAGTACATTGTGGGGGCCTCCCTGGTGGCGCATGGTGTTAAGACGCAACCTATGACGCTGTCCACAGCCTCTGCAACACGAGTTCGCTCCCCTGGCAGGCCAGGGAGCTACCCACAGGGTGCAGACCACTCCTGACTCACCAGCTGCTCCCCTTAGCAGTGTACTTTGGTCAATCTGCCTGTTTTGTTCCCAGTCTCTCTGGTGAATCCTCCCATCCCCTGCAACTCTGGCCTGTACCCCAGCTCTTACATGGATAAATAAATAAATCTTTAGAAAAGAAAAGTACATTGTGGGATGAGAGACAGGATTGCTCTGACCTTGCTTCTGACTACTTTCTAGCTCTCTTATCTCTTTACTTGCCACCAAATCTCTTTGTGGTTTCTTTCCCAAATTTTGAAGTGCTGGAAATGTCCTCATCTCCCTTCTCCTAAGTCAGCTATTTTGTCTGCAACTGTTTCTGTTTTGTTTTGCCCAGTAGTTATTATCAAAGAAGATAACATTCCAAATGTCCTTTGCTCACTATAGTGTTAAACTGCCAGCTTTTTACTTGCCAGGGACTAAACTGGGAGAGATGATGATATTTATGTGCCCTAAAACCCCCTAGGTATTTGTCATTGTTATGTCTGTAAAGATAGCTGAGAGAAGAATGATAAAGTCATGTGAAAGACTGCTAACTCTGATAAAATGTTTGCCAAACAAAGATGGGAAAATAGCTTATAGTACAAAGTGTTTGCTTTGTGCTAAGGACCTTTGTTTATTGTTACGAGCTAGGTATGGCTCACAGGAAGACAAAACTTAATTTCCAGCAAATTCTCAAGCTTCTCTTCCCTACTTTTGACTTAGACTTGAGATCTTTACAAGCCAAGAGGGAGAAGACTGTTCAAGAGGAAAACAGGCCTACTGTTCAACCAAACATCTATTGAACATTCACTCTGTTCTGTGTTCACATATGATGCCAGAGCTAGAAAACAAAGAATAATAAATAGATTGTTTCAAAAAATGTTTACGACAACATAATTTATGGGTGTCCAAAGTTAATCATGGAGAATATGAAAAAAATTGATGCAATCATTAAAATGATGATATAGAGAGGATGACATAGTAACATGGGAAAATCTTATAATGCAATGTATGTGAAAAAAAATATATGTCAAATATCATGAGTCCATACTGATACATATAAATGATTGAATAAATGGGAGGAAGGACAAATCCTCCTCACAGAAGAATTTCAAGCAATATATGTAAATTATCTCCCTCCAGGAGGTGTACTTCACCCCTCCTTCCTTTATGAATAGATTGGAATTAGTGATTCACTTAAAGAGAAAAATAGTCACTTTACAGCAGAGAGACCTGGCACATAATACCTTAACCAAGTGATCAAGGCTCACATCGTTTAGAGTGTCATGTTGATATTATGGACCTCTGATGTGATGAGATGGGCACATCACCTCTGTGGTACTCTTCCTAAATACCCACAACCCTAGTCAAATGAAAAACACATAAGGCAAACCCAGTTTGAGGGACGTTATACAAAACGCATGACCTGTGCTCTTCAAAACTGTCAAAGTTGTGGAAAACAAGGACAGGCTGAGAAACTGTCGCAGACCAGAGGAGCCAAGGAGACACGGCCACTAACTGCGGTGTGCTTTCCTGGGTGGATCCTGCAGCAGAAAAAGGGCACGAGTGCAAAATTGGTAAAAATATGAATAAAGTGTAGAGTTTAGTAAAAGGGTAATGTATCAATTTTAATTCTTACTTTTGAAAAATGTAAGATGGTAGCATTAGGGAAAACTGACATTGAGTGAGGGATATAGCAGAACTCATGCTATCTTTACAACTTTTCTATAAATCCAAAATGATTCCAAAATAGTTTATATATATATGTATGCATATATATATATATATATATTACAATTATGGAAAAATATCCCTGCAAAGAAAAAAAATGCAGAAAGGAAGGAAAG